TAAATCAACTCAGCTCGACGTTCTGATCATATAAGTATACATTTTAATGGGTCTATCTCTTTTTGTTCTGGTACTTACAAACATCGGACCAAAGTTATAATACCATTTCATGCTCATGAAAGGTATAAAAATCATAACTCGAAAACGACGAATTTTAGCATATTGCTACGCATTTTCTCGCATTTCTGAGCAAAAAGAAAAAATACGTGTCTCCTTAAATTGTTCAAGGAACAATCCCTGTGAGTTTTATCGCAAACTTAAATTCACTTTCCCCCGGCCTGGGTGATTTGAGATGGAATGAGCCACATACATATATAATTGTTTTCAATTTTTTGTTTTTGAACTCAGGCTTTTTTTGTCGAAAGTTAAAATTGTGAAACAATTTCACATACATTCCTACATACGTATCCCCTCGATTGGGCTCTGCATGATTTTGAAACCAATTAAAATTTAGCCGTAATAAGTTGGCTATTTTAATAGTCGACTACGAAATTCCCGTCAGGGGTTAAACATAATAAAACTGGACTCTAAAAAATGTATGTATGTAAGTAAGTGCCTTTTGTTTTATATGGAAAATAAAAACTCAGTTTTTGCGACAAGCTCGAAACTTGCACCGAGCCCGGGTTTCACTAGCAAGAATCGAGTTACTACTGTAATTAAGCATTGAAAATCCATACATACAAAAGTACATAAAATATATAGTACAGTTCACTACTTTTCAAATGTCTGATAGGCAAAATAATGCATTTTGGCAACGATTTTTTAAAATGTAGTATATAAGGAAATGTAAAAATTGTATTAACCCAGAATTGAAATGAATTCTCCATCGTGCAGAAGAAACATGTTGTCTGTCTTGTATTTTCCCCCACCAGCGGTAAGGAATATTGGATACAGCTACAAGTCTGTACAAGTGTAGATAGCTGCTGAGTCAGAATACGGGAGCAGGATTGAATCCTTCTCCCATTCATCCCCTGAGGGGATCCTTGTCTGGAAGTGATTCTTTAGTCCAGTATGCGGGACTGTGTATTCCTGGCGCCTGATGTCTACTGGAAGATTTTCTAAAATTCTAGAGTGCTCAATGCTCGTGTGACTCCATTCGATCAGCGCATTTAATCTAATAGCATTACAGCTTGCCACAGGTAAAAAGTGAAGCAAGGTATATATGCTTAAGTCGGCGTCGATGGTAAGGCTCCTGTGCATCGGCGTAGCCAGAATGAAATTTAGGGGGCGGCTCGACCCTATTAAGCTGGCATTTCAGGGTACTATTTTATATATATATAAGAAAAATTGTAAAGTTAGGGGGGCTCGAGCACCCCCTGCCCCTACCTGGCTACGCCCATGCTCCTGTGATCATTATGGCTACATATGTAAGTACCAACTCTTTCACTCAACACTTGGGATTCGCTTGATTTAATGTGAAAACCAGCATGTTTGGTTTCGTAATAGAGGGAAGGTATGCTACGAAATTTTCATCCAAGGAGCCAACATCAGCTCCAACCACTGCACCATTGGAAATTTTACATTTTTTTTGGCAACCAATTACTATGGCTAAACAAGTAGATTTTTTCCAAAAAATCTTAACCCTCTAAAGGGTCACTTTTTATTATGAGGTTTTATGAACGATCTAGTGCAGTGATTCCAAAGTGGCCCAGATGCACCCCCAGCGGTTCACGGGAGACTCGTCTGGTTTCGATAGTAAAGTACAAATATCGTGGCTTGGCTTTATCTATCAAAAAAATAAGGCAGCAAAGAAATGCCAAATTTTTCAGTGGTTTTTGACAGGCCGTATTTCGGTAAAAAATGGTCGTATTGAGACTTAGAAAAACCTTTGAAGCTCTAAGATTCAAATTTTTCACGGCTTCAAATTTCTAGGATCTACGGTTCTCATGTAATCCTGACAGATAGCGCGAAAAAAATAATTTTGCAAATTTTTTTGCTTTTTTCGTCCAAGGGATTGAAAAAATTTTTCCTTGAAGCCGGCATATATTTAGATTTAATTTCCTATTTTAAAAACCTGCCTTATTTATTTAGGAGTGTATAGTACTCTTGACGCACTGCTGCACTTACCGTCACTTTGTGTTTTCCTAAGTGGAAGAAGCGGATGTTGGTATAACACTGAGTGGAGCGAGGCGGAAATTGCTGGCGGCAGAGATCTGAGCACCTGCGTCTTTTCAATGCCACAGGATAGTTTTAACTAAGTACTTCCAAACTAGTTCGACAAAGCAAGTCTCGACTAAATTATGTTGGTAAACTTAACGAGCTTGCTTTACTCTGGGTGCAAAGTCGCTCGGGAGTACCTGGTTGGCTCAGACCAGATATTTCTCGATCCGCAACCAGGTATAACACTCCCACCTTCGGTCATCGAAAGTGGCAAAAGCTGGGTGAATACTTCGCTCGGAAATGACTGGGTGGCATCGAGGGACTTCTGGTGGGCAAAACTTATGTTGCCTTCAATCACTTAAGGTTGTTCAAATATCTTTGAACATGGATACATATCTGCCCGAGTAATAACATTAAATATAGCAAGAACTTTTTTTGCCCTCGGCAATATGTTCAAACATCTTTGAACAGGTATGCATACATACATACATCTGCCAGGGAAATAAAACTGAACATAAAAAAATACGTACAATAATACTTATTGACACATAGAAAATACAGTCTACTTTAGAATAGAAGATAAGTAAAATACATAAACATGAGAAATGAACCAAAACCCATAAATTGTAACATATTTAACTGTCAATATTTTGTACACAACCGAAATAAGATATCAATGCGTTGATCTATTTTAATCTAATGTTCGCGCATACAAATGCATACACCCATACATGCATTAGAAAATGCATTGATATTATTTGCATGTATACATATAGCCGACGCAAATGCAAGCATTAAAATTAAAATTATGATAAGACCAAAGCGTTGGTTTGTAAATAGTATATACCAAAACAACATGTACATACACACACACACATACATATGTATTTACAATTAGTTAAGGAAAATATAATCAGAATTTGTATATAAAAGGAAAATATTTAATAAACAGATGAGGATCCTAAAGACTCTCAATTAACCATTTCTTCTCCGCTTCTCTTTTTTCTTTTAATTTTATTTTATATGTTTTACTTCCCCCCATCCAGAGGTAAGGGGTACAGCATTTAACACTCTTTATTCTTCTTTCTTTATTAAAGTTTTACTTCCCCCCACCAGCGGTAAGGGGGAAAAATTTTAATATTGAAAGTACTAACCTCTTATTTTATTAGACTCTACTTCCCCCCACCAGTGGTAAGGGGTAGAGAATTTTAAAATAAGAGTACTTGTAGTTCAAGCATTGCTGATAATTACTTGTTACCCCCCACCCGAGGTAAGGAACAAGTTAATCAGGTCCAAAGGCCCATCTAGTTTTTTTCTCTCACTGACCAGGCGGGACTGCAGGGTACTTTTTGGACGTGGCACAAACACTAGACTATGATAGACGTACATGCCAACTCCATTTTCCTATCCTGCGTTGAAGGGGATGGGACGGTGGAAAACTTTTCGTGCTTCTGCCTCGCCTTTGCAAGAATTAGGTATGCGGCATTTGGAAGCGATGTGTTGAGAGATGAAAACCTTTGACACCTAACAATCTGCTTAGGTCTATTAAAACAGATTAAACGGGACATGAAAACAATACAATGAACGGTATGTATTCTGAGTGCTTTTTCCATACGCGTTGTTTTGTGACTGGATCCCACCCAAAAAAAATTGTTTTTAACCCATTCTGGTCAAATGTTTCCCTGATGAATATAAAAATTTGTCCTCTTAATTACAAGGTTCATAGAGCCTCATAACCATAAAAGTAAAAAAAAAAATATTCAAAAGTTGTTTTGGGTAGCTACAAGGGCTGCCTCAAAATTGTGCAATTTGTCCGCAAAGGAGTAAAAGCACTCAAGAAAACTCAATAAATATTTCACTAAGTTTGACGGAATAAAACTTTTATTTTATTGAAAATGAACTTATATATGTACAAAATAATTGATTTTACTGCAGATATGTCGGAATTAATATTTTATATCTTTTTAAGTATCTTTAGTTAAGATTTGCATTAAAAAATTTTAAATTTTCTCCAAGAGAAGAGATTTACATAAAGAAATTTTTAAAAATTTCAGATACAATTACAATATAAAATACAAATGACCCGTTTTAATAAACCTTCTCGGTTTTTCTGCCTTCAGTAGATAAAGAAATCAAAAACCTACCCTTTAATGCAACAACAGCGCACAAGCTCTTCAAAAACCACGGCAAAAGCCACCCTAATTGCCTGTTCAACTGCAACCTTTGCGGACGTTTGTACAGTATATTGTACAAGACACTTACAACCTTTCAGTGTAAATGTACAATATATTGTTCCTTTTTTCTTTGACCACTCCGGAAAAAGATTTTAATTATGATAGTTTAATTTTAGCATTTTTATATGATGAAATGCTTTTATATTTCCATACTATGTGCTTTTTTTAGCGATTTACTTGACTTTTATGTATTTTTTGTACAGTAAATTACCACAACTTGCGTGTCACTGGAATTTTATAAAATGGTCTAATTTAAAATTAAATTCTAAAAATATTTTTGAAACGTTTTCGATTTTGAAATTTACGTAGACTGTTCGGAACATTCCAAAACTTCATAAAGTTTAATTTGTTTTCAAAAATATTGATAAGATTTTTAGTAGAACACTTCCAATGTTACAAAAAACTAAATGTGCAATATATTGTACAAATGCAGGAAAGGGTTAAAGCAGAGTTCGCAAAAATTCCTCAATGAGGAATAAAACTTTTATCTTCCTCCTCACTACAACTCAATTCGAAAGCAAAAAATTTGGATTTCCTCTTTGTGAATTAAACATCAAAGAGCGTTGTTCAACTAAATTTATCTTTAATGTAACACACTTCTGTCGCCCAATATTTACCTAACATTCCTTTGCCGCTCAAAATATGTATTATATATCAATGATCAATGATCTTAGTATAAAGGAAAATCGAGATTCTTTGTACGCGGTAATCGCGAAAAGAACTGAACGGATTTTTACGAGATTTTTTCTAATACA